CCCCCCCTCCTATCATGGTAGGCCCGCGCTCTTCTCTTCATACACTACTATCCAACACAAAGCATCGTTCTCTACCGCGGCGTGCAAGGTCTCCCGTTCGTTTCCCTGTACACCCTGTCACTCCCCCCGCTTCTTTCTGCTACCCTCCACGTTTATCCCTCTCATCACGCTTTTACACGGCGCGTACTGTCCTCGTCCCACCGACTCGTTTCTTCTTCGGGGCCCATCCGCTGCTTCCTCTCTCACCTTGCCTTGCCGAGCCGTATTCTTTTCCTCCTGTATGATCATCGTGCACGTGTATATATACCGGGTGAATCATAAGGCGGTTCTTTGTACACGCGATGAATTCAAATACTACAAGGTGCTCGAAGGATGAGCGGCGTTCAGTCGATTCTACCCTCAGAGAGCAAGGATGAATAATTTTTTAAAAGAATCTTTTTTTTTTACATATAGACAGACATATGTCAAATCAAATTGGACAATTTTTGTTGCTGAGTACGTTTTACATTTACAATTTTAACGAGGCTTTCCTTGAAATGTACTTTTTAGAAATAACGCGAGTTTCGGTTTGCTGCCGATTGCTGTCGTAATACGCATTCATAATTCCGCTAGATATGCTGGACTATTTTCGAACGATAGAATATTACTCGTTGAAATAAAATCGAAATTTGGATTATGCAAATATCAATAGGATCCATATTATGCAAATACAGTCAAGATGTATTCTATGCAAATTCGTATTATGCAAATATTCCCAGCAGGAACATTTATTTCCACTTTCCTACGCGAGCATTCTACACGAATTTACACTTTACAACGCATCGCGAATTATTTACCAAACATTACGACGAATTAAATTACAACAAGTGTTTACGAGTGCTTTAACAACGCGTTCGCGTCGTCAGTGGAAAATCGCTCCGCGAGGAAATCGAAGATTAAACAGCGTCGCGTGTAATCGCCAGCGGATATCTTGCGGACACCCCGTATACACCCTGACGCGCCTCCTACGTCGTTCTCCAACACATCGGCAGCGGATCGAGTCGAGTCGGCTGTTGCCGGCTGCGAGCCTGTCCCCTTCCCAGCGTTCCGTGAAGCCTACGTTCCCCCTCTACCGCCTGGAGCGTCAGTTGCCCCGCGTCCCTTTGCGGAGTCGGAATCGTTGTGTAGTTTCCCCGCTCGTGTCCCCGCGCCGCACCTGGTCCACCACACGTTCGACACTACGGTGAGTCTCCCCTCTCTTCACCTAACCTTCTCTCCGCAAAGCCAATGCGTCTCGGCCCCTCACCTCCCGTCGACGTTCTCGTGGCATGCCACGACTCGTAGCGAAGTTTTAACGTCGCCTCTCTCTAACTCTACTCACGGCGTTCCTACGATTTTTCACCGGATCTATTACGCGAAGTTAGTTGCGCGACGCTCTTGAAGTTTTTATTGCGAACAAACGTATTTGTCCTTCCCTTTCTTTCTTTCTTTTCACTTACTTTTTCACGCGCATTTCCGTCTCCGTCCGTGTTTCGCACCTACGTGCGCCTCGTTTGAATTTTCCTCCTTTGTCCTTCTTACTCTCGCCATCTTGCTCTGCCGGTGTCGTCTTTCTCTCTCTTACTCGTTGGGTGTTTACCCCCCGGCAAAACGGACGATCGGTTAGTGCATGAACGGAGTACAACGTGACGCGACATTGTACGTATAGTCAAGCCTCTCGGTATACTCTTGTGTGGTCGAGAGCCGGAGTGAGAGGGGCAGACGGATAGAGAGAGACGGTGGCCGCACGTAGCTCACAAGGAAAGGCGGAGAGAGGAAGGAGAGCAGTAGCTAGCCGGTGGTGCGTCGTCGTCGTGCGCTTCCTAACCTCCAAAACGGTTCCTCGCGACAAGCGACGCGTACGTACGTGTGGTAAAACGGAGCGACGCCGCCACCTCGATTGCGCGCGCGTGTATCTCTCTCGTGACATTGCTTCGATTCAAAACGACGTCTAATTTGCAGTCGCAGCCGTTGTCGCCGTTTCACGATTATTTTTCGCGTGTGTGTCTCGTGTCGGTTGTCGGCACGATAAAAGCAGAGTTAGTACTGTGAAACGAAAATACGTGAAATAAAGTTTTTCGTGTTCAAATTTAGTTGTCTGTGCCGCGGGTTTGTGAGTGACGAACGAAAAAAATAACTACGCTGCTGCCAGTATTCGAGTATTCCACGGATATTCTACGGATATTCTATGGAATTCGTCTAGACATCTTCATCGTCGTTGTCATTGTCATCGTCGTCATCGTCGTCGTCGCCGTCTGTCTGGAAGCCTACCGTGGACACGGTTAGTATAGTTTGTTGTTAATTGTTACTGCGGACCGATGCGTGCGATACACGACAGTCCGCACGACCGGCGAACGTGATACTACGGTGAGTTGCGTTTTCCGGCATGCGGAGTGGCCGCACGCGGTGCGCGCGCTTAGAAACGCGCTGAATTTCTCTCTCCGGTTCTTTGTGTGCGCCGAGATCGAAAGCGCATGTCCGGCAAGTACGTTCACACGTTGAAACTAGCCGTTACGACGTCAATCTGCATGTCTTGATGCGAATATTACAAATTTCCGTTGGCGTGATTGTTGTCAAATTTCGACGCTTTTGTTGATCAATAATCTGCTTTCCGTAGATGCTGTCGCGGTAGTGTCTGTTCACTCCTAATCACTTATCCTTTTCATTTAGTGACATCTTGAACACATTTTTGCTTTTTCGCGCGGATTTTGGAGCGCAACTCGATTCGCGCAGCTGAACGGAAATGTGTTGAGGGAAAACACGTGCAACTCCTTTTTATTAAATTATCAAATAGAAATTATTGTTCTAAACCATAATCGAACTGTGTGAAGCAAGAAAGGACAATGATATACGTCCATTCATGTGTACAAATAATTGATTCAGAAGAAAATAGCGCATTGATTGATTTAATCAGCGAATTAAAAAAATTTAAAATTTTAATAGATATTGTTCACAACGAAGCAGTCGAGACGAGACATTATATTATTGCTTGTGTTAGCTTGCGTTCTTAACAGGGATGTTTCACAAACAGAGGCTCATTAATTTTTATTTCTATGCAATTAAATTCTCGCATTATAGAATTAAATTTTACAGTTGATGTGTACAAACAGAGATTTGTCATTTTCAAAGGAGTTTATACATGTGGTGTTTATGTGTACTCTCTATGTGTCTCTCTATACATTTATTTGTCTAGCATTTTTTTGTGTGAAAAACTCTTAAATATTCATATCACAACGCCGACTAACTACATCATTTTCCGCCATCTCGCACGAGCCTTAGAAATGAAATACGACCAACATTTTCTACATGAAAAATCTGATTTGTACAAATGTATCTCGTGGAAAAATCATTTATTCCTAGAAAACGGTCGTATTGTGAGGTATGAAAACGAAACGATAATGGCAATCTGACAAGCGTTAGTCCGATATCAATGGGACTGCGGCGCGTTGCGTTCGCATTCGCAATAACGAGACGGCCGGGCGAGCGCTTTTTTGCGGGGCGGTGGGCGTAAAAATTGCTGCCATAAACAGTCTAGCTTGGCTACCGGTGGCGCATAGTTACGCGGCTTATCGTGGCGCCGCATTGCGCGGCGCGGTACGGCGCGACGCGGCGCAACGGCGCGTTCCTCGAACTCTCGGCCTCGTACGTACGTGCGCTGCACCGTGCGCATGTATGCACCTGGCCTACGGTACCTTGGCGTGATACGTCGGATTGGTACGTCAGGTTCTTCAGGATCGTGAGAATTGCCGCTGTACACGTCTCCTACATCAGGCCGTCTTATATGCCGCTGTGTTTCCGCATTGTTGTTTAGGGTTTTCCGATTTATTTTTGCCAAGAAAGTAGATTGCTGAAAATTTTTGCATTTGCTTGGAACCTTTTTGAAAATATACGTCTAAGAACGTGAAGAAATTTTAGTAAACAATTTTTTTTTTATTTTAAAAATCAGCATTAATGTATTGAATAACTTCGAAGTAATTTGCTTCGGAATGCTAGTTTGCTGTAAAATGTTTTCTGGTTGCAAAATACCACTCTGCAACAAGGTGCATAGTTCGCTATAAAATGCAGAAGTATGCCAAATGCTTAGTTTGCTTCAAAATTCCGATACTTTTGCATTCACGACGTGAGATTGAAATTTGTATCCTTTTGGCGCGCGCCTCTATTGAACAAGATTGTCGTTGTCAACGACGCTATTGTCAATAGAAACTAGGCTGCAAACCGGCAATCAGAGCGTACCTTCTTGCAAGTCGAACACTAGCTCGACGCGAGCCTCACAAACGACCGAGTGAAGAAACTTAGCGCATGTAATTGCTTGCTCGGGAATTAGAAACCACACCTTTTGCATTCGCACGCGAGCGTCGCTACTCGACATAATAGGAAAGCTACTGTAATCGCGATTAATTACGGTGTGGGTTTTTTGTGTACAAAAAATGGTGTAGTCAGGTTCGCTCATGATTAAGTTAATTATTCATTCTTTGCAGAATTATTGTTTTTAATTGCAGTTCTTTTTGCACGTTTCTTCTTTTGCAGTTCGTAAAATCGACTCGATCCAGTGTTCCACGCGTAACGTCAATAGAAATCGAAGAAATATTCTCTCGTCGGTAGTTTTTTTCGTCCGTCGAAAGGGTTCATGGGTTACTTCGCAATTCACGCCGTACCTCGCCCTGAAATTCCACGGCCGGTGATATCGGCCGTAATTGTGGCCGTGATCCGAATATCGATGACTAAGACCGTCTCGGCTGTATTTTTGCGCCACGAATGGTAATCACCGCGACATTCGCGAAACCGAGAGCTATTTTCTTCGATGATGCACTGCCGACACCTGTGCCGGTATGTCGCGATCGTGCACTTTATGATTAAACCATTTTTTTGCCGCGCT